GCAGCTGGTGGGAGCAGTGGGGGTCAGAGCCCAGCAGCCTCCCCATGCCCTCAGCAGGGGGAATGGGCAGAGGAGAGGTGCCAGGCTCCAGTGGCCTGGACACCACATGTCGCATTTGCAGAAGCAGCGCCAGGGCTGGCTGGAAGTCTGACCTCAAGAGCAGGCTTCTAGGATGCCTGGGACAGGCTGACCCCTCACCAGATTTCTTCAGGGCACAAGCAGGAGAAAACAGCTTTTTCTCTTCTTTTCATGTTACTGGATCTCCCCTCGTGTGGGGTCGCCAGGCTGGGCTTGTTCTGGCCCGTGCATCGCACACTCCAGCACCCCTGTGCATGGTGCAACCCCCTTGCACTTAGGTGATACCTCCAGGGAGGGGAGGGACGGTGCCAGAGCCTGGAGTTCAGCTGTTTGGTGGAAGGGGCGGTGGAAAGCCATTGCTGCACTGTCAGAGAGGCACGGATGCGGGCGGTGGGGCCATGGCACAGCCCAGGCAGTGGCACGCTTGCCATCGGCACGGGGGCAGGAGAAGTTGTTCGTTTGACGAGTGGAGTCTCATCCCTGGGGCTCACCTGCTGATCTGCAGAAATGGCAAGCGCCAACCCCACCTGCCCATGCGTGGGAGCGATGGTTGGGCTTTTCCAGCTCTCCAGATGCACTTGGCTGAGAGGCGGCTTTGCTCAGCTCCATGCCCAGAACAAGGATCACAAGAGCCCAGAACAGCCCTGTGCAGGAACATCACCATCTTCCGCACTTCCACCTTCTCCAGAAGCCCATGGAGGGTCCAAACTGCACGCAAGTATGAGACCCAAGCAGCTCTTTTTGTAGGCTGCAAAACCCCAAAGTCCCCCTGTAGACACAGCAGCTCCCCTGGTAGAGGCAGCAGCACCAGGCACTCCAGTTTTCCACAGGAAAACTCTGCAGAGCAGCTCGGTGGCCACCCGGTGTCCAGCCAAGGTCAACCCACCCCAAGGGAGCAAGGAAGCCATGCAGAGCTCAGCCCCAGTACATGGGCAGATGCTCCTCCATCTATCCTGTCCCCAGCACAAGAGTGATGGTGCTGCTGGTGGCTGGACAATGGCTAGGTAATGGTCCAGCTCTCCCGTCCTCTTCTGGAGGGCTTCAGCTCCTCGAGTGATGAGAGAGGCAGAGAGGAGGAAAAGGAAAAAATTCCCCAGCATCTTGGCCGCAGATGGGTCTGACTCCACACGTGCCCCCAGCCCAAAACGGAAGCAGGGGGACACAGGGAGGACAACAGCCCTGATCTAGAAGGATGCCTAGGAGCCCACAGGTCTTCACCAAGGATGACGGCAGACCTCACAAGACACAAATTACAGGGGATGGAGATTCACTGCTCCTCCCGAGCGGGGAGATGCGGAGGCAGGCTTCCTCTCGGTGCCAGCCAGGATGCCAAAGCCACTGAGTGACGTTTCGGCTGCTTGCCTTCACACATGGTCTGTGAAGCAGAGGCAAGCCTTTCTTGTTCACCTCCGCTCCCAGGGACCAGTCGTGGCCTGGGAGGCTGATGGGACCCTCTGTTGGAGCTCAGAGACCAAACTTCATCCAAGATGATTTGGGCAAACACTTTCTCCAGGACAACGTCCATTTGAGCCATTTCCGCGAGGGCAGCACGTGGCTTTGGTCCCAGCAACAACCATCAGGCAGCAGGACCCTTCCCACTGGGCCCCTACACAGGCAACTGGAAACCCAGGTAAGTCCAACCAGAGCCTCCTTCCAGGGCAGGGGAGAAACTCTCCTCCCCAAAACACTCCCTTCCAGACTAGACTCGAATCAGCATTTACTGCAGAGCCAGCCATTGCTGGCCAGACCTCCAGACCCAAGCCGAACAGCCAGCGATGCCACCACGGGCTGGGGATGCCAGGACCCCCTGTGAGCACCCTGCCAGTGACAGGTTTCCCCGGCGGGTGGCACAGATGCTGCGTAGGATGAACCCCCGCAGAAGAACACGTTTCTCAGCAAAGCATTTGAGATGAAGAAGGCGTGAGGTGCAGTGAAACCATTTGTTTTACGGATTTCAGCCTTCCCCTCTCTGAAAACAAGTTGTTCTGCAATGACAGTTCAAGCTTGCTCCCTTCAGAAACATCAAAGGAAAACGCTTTAGCATCTCTGCCTTTGTTTTTCCCTTCATTCAGCCTAAATTGCTCTCGGCTGCACCCAGCTTCCCAGGCAGCCTGTCCACAGCGGCACTCCTCAGCCGACACAGCCTCTCCCCACCGGCACGCAGCCCCGCAGCGCTTCCCACTCCTCCCTCACTGCTTCACAGGCAGCTCCAGGACCCCGGGCAAGGTGTCAAGAAAGCTTCCCAAAACAGTTTTGCCCTATTCTAAACCCTTCCCCCATAGGGCAGGGGGCCACGACAGGACCGGGATGGGAGAGGTGGAGCGGGCTCACGCTGCCTTACCTCCGAGAGCTTGACGCGTCCCTCCAGGAAGGAGCAGTCGGCGGCGTTGTGGGTGCAGATGTGCCGGTACTTGCACCAGTGGCAGGGGAAGGAGCCGTTCACGCAGGACAGGCAGCTGCGGAGAGAGCAAAGCGGACGGCGTTAGGGCAACGGCGAGGCAGGGTCCACCGGGGCTCTTCCACCCCCCCCCCCCAGGCTTTGCCCACAGCAGAGCGAGGGGAAGCGGCCTTTCTGGCACCACAGGGCTTGTGTCCCAACCGGGGGGGCCACGCTCCCTCCTCTGCTTGGCAAGCCGGCCCTACCCACCCTGATGCTGGGGGGGCCGAGCTCCAGACTTTGGGAGCTTTACTTGGGTTCCCTGAAAGGCGATTTTAGCAAGAGGCAGCAGAACAAGTGCTGTGCACCTTGGCGGAACAAGGGAGAAAGGGTCAGATTAACGCAGGCTCATAGAGAGGAAAATTATAACTGGCGAAAGGTTGGGTCAGATTAACATTTTGGGACCGTAGCGCCTTTCAACTGCTACAATAGGTTGTGACAGGAGAGCTGCTGAGGCATAAGCTCAAAGGCAAGAAAAGTAATCAGCCTGGCTTTAAATAAA